AATCGATTTTCTAGTTTGTGATCCGAATTGCCCCACCTGAGTGTATCACTTGAGCAATAAGATAATGCTGTTAATGAGAAACATTTCAAATTGGGTAAATCATTCTAGAAAATACGAAATAATACTTATAAATAAACTATTATCAATCAAAAGAAAAAAATAATAAGACATTCAGATGAATGACTGATTCAAAAAATTCTATCTCTATTTAATTTATTTTTAAATATTTGTTCTATTCTAAAATATATACATATCCTTCTGCAATGATTGTCAACCTTATTATAATAATTATTTATGAGAAAACTATTATTTCTATAGAAAACAAATCATATGTGAAAACAAATGATTATTGTCATAATATTAAGGGTACCCCTCCCCCCTCTTTAGTGATCAAAAACTCGATTTCGAGCTGAACCTAAGATACGATAGCCTGAAGTGCCACATGCAACTAGAGACATTATTCGAGTCTAAATATTTTACTTTTACGTAGTTATTAGATCGAGAAAAATTTTTTTTCATAGTAATCGTATGTAAATTTTTTTCTTTTGCTTAGCGTTTTGTAAAACAGCGATTTTCTGAATCTTGACACATTACGACCCCTCTTAAAGTTTGTCCGATCGAGCTGAAAATTTTACTACTAATACTTTGAAGTATTCTCCAGAGGTAAAATAAAGCGTTTTCATTTTTGATGTTTCTACTCGAAGTTACAGGGTCGCGAAAGTCAAGACCTGAAGCAGAAACTCAAATCTTGGCGTATTTCTCTTATAAAAAAAAAAGAAAGTGAGATTTTTGGAAATCCTTAAATTTACTTCTGAGGAAGTGTTAGGCATCTATAAACAAAATTTCAGCCCAATCGGACAAGCTTTAAGGGGGGTCGTAATGTGTCAGGATACGGACCTCTGGAAAACCCCACAAAACTTCTTTTAAATTTTTTTTCCTCGAACACATCTCTTTATTTTTAGTGCTCTCTCTGTGCTAAAATTTTCAGCCTGATTGGTTGTACCGTCTTCGAGAACCAGCAAGTGTCAAAAAAAGAGGGGGGGGGGGAAGGTACCCTTAAATCATCACTAATTGAATCGAACAAATGCCATTTACATTAAAATTTTTCATCGAATGATTTATCTTTTCACAATAAATGAAAGTTATCTTCATTTACTTTTTCTATATTTAACAATCTTTCTATTCTCATCTATTATTTAGAAGTCTTGTAGTTTGTTTATTGCTTTTAATCCTAACTTTCATCTCATATCAATTTTTTCAATTAAATATCTTTAAATTATCTTATGATAATTATTTACAATCTTATTTTTGAAACATATCACTTTTGATAAGAAAAGTGATAGGATCAATAAATGTAAGACATATTAAAATTAAACCGTTTGTCTAACTAGATGAACATTCAATTTACAATTGTTTTATTATAGTTAATTAAAATAAAAAGTAACTCATTAGCAAGGAGGAAACAGCGGAGACTTCAGCCATGAAGTCTCATCAAGTCTTTCGAAGTCTTGAAATCCTGAAGTCTCTGTTTTTCCCATTGTTTATCAAGTCTCACGAAATCTCATGAAGTCCTTATTGTTGAAGTCCGTTGTTTTCTTGTTCATTAGTAAACAATCTATGTCTAATAGATATATCAAATACAAATATGCGCAATAAGTTTTATTTTAAGATAAAATGAAGATGAATCGAACAAAGTATAAAACTTACCATATTATTAATATTTAATGAATAATATTCTAAATAGTCTGGTTGAACAATATGAACAATTAATGTAGTTAATTGTTTAAGACGACCATCAAGTAAAGCATAACAATCTTGAAGATTTTGAATATAGAGAGATAATTTGCAAAGAGTTGAAGAGAAACAAATAGTTAAAGGTAATTGACGAAATTTCAAACATGGAAAACGATATGGAAATAATTCAAAAATAGAGAAATGTTTAAGATTTACGAATAAATTGAAAACATATTCATATAAATTGGTTATATAAAATGTGTTTGATGTTGCATTAAAATTCTTTTCGAATACAAGAATAAGATCTGTAATTTGTTCTTGAAAAATATATCGAAAAGGTGATTTATCTAAATTAAAAAAATAAACAGATATTGTTTAATCTAATTTATACAAGAATTTTTGCATCTAAATCTTTACTCTGATCAGTATATTGAATTATTTACCTGTAAAATAACGTGAAACAATTTTTCCATTAAAATTGAAAAGTTTAAGTTGAGTTAAATTAGGATAATCACCAGCAAGAAGAATTTTTTCCATAGATATTGAATCAAGAATAAGAGATTTAACATTGTAATGAATTTTTGGTAAGATATTTATGCAAAATCGATTTAATATTGGATCAACAATTGAGGAAATATCATCAGTTAATGTTGTTAATACAAACTTAAGATTATTAGTAAAAGTATTTTCTTGTAATATAATATCAAGTCGTTGATTATCAACATCTAATAATGAATAAAGTACATCCATATTATCCAGCTTTTTTAAAATAATAAACAATATTTCATAAGGTAAATCAAGAAGATTAATGTTAGATCGATTCATGTCGAGTATGGCAGATGCTTTTCTTGTCATGCACATATATATATGTATGTGTATGTATGGTCATTGTTTTGTTCATATCTGTGTATTATTGAATAAAATGAATAGATGACCTCGCCAAAAAACGAAAGAGCAGTCTAATTAATTTAACGATCAATACTGATCTTTTTTTTCGTCTATTGTGCGAAACAAAATAGTAAATGAATTTAAAGAAATTTCTTATATGCACTAATATATATCTATACAATCAATATTTCAATATTTGATTTCATGATGATACAACTACAGGTGTAAGTCGAGCGACTGAGCCGTCGCCGATTCATACAGATAGACGCTATTTTTTTTTTGAAAATTTTCGTCGCGTTGCATCAGTTTTTATAGATCTTCTATTGCAGTTTCTTAACAGCATATCATTGAAATCATTTTCATGCTTAACTTTCACTTATCCTATGCAAATAGTTTGAAAACTATTATAAGAATTTTTTTTTGCACTTCACTGTAATTACAATCAGATGAACAGAGAAAGTAGATAATATTCCATAAAACAATATATTTACCATATTTGATGAAGTAATATTTGTGATAATCCACTTTGTTAAAGAAGTTTTTTGTTGGTGTACCATTCAAAAATCCATTGATTTTGTAATATCAACTAATGAATGAAATTATTGAAGATATTTTGATTGTATTATTTGTGTTAATGGTGAAAGTAGAATAACAGCTGATTTTAACAGAGGACTAAATATTAAGATGAACAAAAAAAAACCAACAATCAATGAGTTAACTAAGTATTATTCTAATAAAGCAGTGATAATGTCTATTTTAATTTTATCATTCCGATATAATCAAATGATTGTTTAAAATGAATTCAATGAAATGTATTTTTGATAGGTGTGAAAAAAAAGTCAAACAGTTTGCAGGTTGTTGATAAAAGTAATATAGACTAGATATTGATGATATGACATTTGTTGTTATTGTTAATGCATCAATAAGAAGAGTTGATGTCAATGATCCTTTTTTCTAAGCCTTAATTAACAGAAAAAAACAATTAGAATTATAAAACAAGAAAAAATCATTTTTCTATTTACTTGAGATGCAATTAAATGACAAACTATAGTAAATTCTCGTTTATCTAAATGACCATCAGCTATTATATCAGCAAAATTTCCTTTAAAAAAATTGAACAATGATCTATTGATATTAATAAAAATATTTATTTTATCCTATTTTATGAAGAATATCTCCAAATAAACTTGATTTAACAAAAAAATTCTTTCTTATTCATCTTAAGAGAAAACAAAATAACAAGAAAATTATTTTATTCAATCATATCAGAAAGATAATCTTGTATTAGACTATACTGGTAATCCAAACAACGAATCGTATTTAATTGGTTCTTTGATATTATTGATATTAATTAAGGCCTTGTTTACACTTGAAAAATAATGCGGATTAAATCTCGAATTAAATCGGTATGCGTCCATACCTATCACTTTAATGCACTAATCAGAACATTGCACTTGTCACTAGAATGTAGTGAAAGTGCATAATTCTACACACTTTACAAAAAAGAATTAGCGTCTATGCCTCACATCAATAATATATAAATGAATTTGGAAAATTGTCACTAACGAATCTATTGTTCTAAGAGTATACTTCGTAAAAAATTCTTAAAAAGAACTGTACATTTCAAAATAAAGTGCAGTCGGTTGTTTGTTGATTAACTCGGCAATGCTGCTAGCTATCGAACTGCGGTTTTCACCGTTAGGAAGAGGCTAGATGGAGGTACCTATATAGCTGAGAATTAAAATACTTCAACAGCTTTATAGGAGTTGTTTAAGAACTTTTTTATATACCACTGACAAACTCTTTTGATTATATGTATTTCTAATTTCAATTTAGCCAAATTGTAGCCCAACCCGACCTCTATAAATGCTAAAATTTTCAGACTCTTTTGACCTTCCCCTGAGATACAGCAAAAAATCTCCTGAAATCTACTGACGTTAAATTTTCGATAATTTTCGCTTCGGATCTCTGAACTATATAGGTAGTATAATCTGCCGATTATCGTAGCGTTATTAGTTGAACGATTGAACATCTTCAATTACTTGGGTGTGGGTGTGTAACTCTAGAGAAGAACAGCATACAAGTCCACATCTTTCACCCGCACCACACCGTCATTCATCTATAATTACAGTAAAACCTCTATTAGTGAACACCCCTCCTTTATGAACAACCTGTTAAAGTGAACACTCTCCGGTCCCACCGCGCGAATTTTGCTTGTTTTGCCTCCCTCCTTTATGAACACCTCGTGATTCTGAATGTGAACGCTTTTTTTTGGTCCCCTGCGTATATATTAACCTTATCAATATGAACTCTAAAGGTGTCGCCACTTAAGAAAATAATACTATTCGAGCGAAAGCGGTGAAAATTAATGAACTGATTGGTTATGTAACTTAATTCAATGGATACGTACGCAGAGAGACAATGAGCTGAAACACACTAGACGGACAATGAATCAACTTAAATTGAATTAAGCAATGTGATTGGTGTATTAACATTTAAGACATCTTCTTTTTCAGATGATTTTAATGTTAATACGCCAATCATATTGTTTAATTCAACTTTAGCGCTAATTCACTTCTTTAGGGGTCAATCACACAGAAAAAGATAAAACAAATAAAGCGACGCGATTGGTCTATTCCGACTTAAATCGTCTTTTTGAGATGATTTATTCGTTAATTCTGTTTTAATTCACTTTGAATTAGTTGGTGTGATTGGGGCCTTAGTGTGTTTTAGATCAATAAGAAGAAAAATAATCAGATGACTATTATTGATATCATTGGTTTTTTAGACATATTTTCTGCCTTTGTTTTTTAGATATGTCACTTCGACAAACATTGTGAAGCAAAAATCTATTCTGGATTTTTTAAAACCTATTCAGTCAGGAATTGTACATCGTACTTAAACTAGTCTATTTAAAAAATGTAAAGTCTTAAAACTTATATATTCAAATAAAATAATTAAGTCTACTTAAACACTATCACTAAATGATTAAACTGCTCTTTTAATCTACATTTGCTTATCCCCCTCCTTTATGAACACTCCATTATACTGAACGTTTTTCGCTGGTCCCGACAGTGTTCATATTACACAGGTTTTACTGTATGTTGGCATTTCGTTTTTAATTCACAGCTGACATAGGCAAGTATCGAAAATCGAATATTTCACTCGAATTCCTTTTCGTTTATTTATATATGATTCGATAGAACACATCGAGAAGATTCAATGAGTTCTATCCAGTGGTACCATTAGGTTTTGCATAGCTCAAATAGTAATGGAGAAAATCTCAAAATTCTGGTCATTTTTCATAGCAATCCGAAAACCTTTTAAGTAAAAGTTCCCCATATTCGTCTAGGAGCCCGTTTCAAAGCTCACAATCGGCGCTCCAAGTTCGACTCGACGAGCTCTATTCAGCGATAGGCTCAGATTTCTGCTAGCTCAAAGCATGAGTTTTAGGCTGATAGATAGCGTCACAGATAATCTGAAAATCATCCTTTGAGGTATCGAGAATCTGAGTCTAACACTGGATAGAGCTCGTCGAGTTGTACCTGAGACACGAATAAGAGCTGTCGAACGCTGCCTTAAACGAATATGGACAAGTTTTACTCGAATACGATGCTAATTTCACCTACGTGAGAATACATGTCTATTGTTTTTACTTAAACAACTTTAGTTGATACTTGCTTATTAGCGTCAATAGATGTCGCTTCATGACGCTAACTTATTTTTCCAATGCATAATGTTTTTTTCTTTCTTATCTGTGATATATATTTATGGCACTGTTAATCATCATGAGTACAGGATGACCTTACACATTACTTCTTTTTTTCTTTTCTTCTCTATTGAGTTTTTTAAATTTTTTTCGTGATTTCTATTATGATCTTTTTTCTATATATTATATACATTTTCTGTTTTCATTATTAATTATAAGAATTGTTATTTCTGTTCACCTGATTAAAAAGTACGTCGTTATTATTATTATTAAATATAATTATAATACGGTAGGCAGTTAATTGTGAGTTTTCTCAATAATAAGCAGATAGAATTCCCTCAAGGTAAAAAATCGTCAAAATTCAGCCTAACTGATATACGGAGATTGAGGCCATAAATTACATCTCGAAACGAAAACCTCACATTACTTTACATATTTGAGTTTCAATACACAGAATTGGTCGCTGAAACCATCAGACAGGGTGACTTTTTATTCCAATGAAGGCTCATCTCTAGCTGACTTAGTAGTTGAATGTGTGACGAAAATGCCTTATGATCAATATGTCAAAGAAACGATTTTGAAACTATTGAACATTGATATTCACAAAACAGGATTTCATTTGGGTGATTTTGAAAAATAGAGAGCAGCTTGTTACACACCACATCTATGCATTTAATGAATCCTTTCTTTCAACATGGAATCAAATAATACCACAATTGAATATAACGTCGATTTCGATAATGTTCCAATCTCCTTATTATTTAGTGGTGAGTTAGGTACATAAGCATTTATTTTTAGGGAACTCTTCCAACATAGCTGCACATGACAGCTCGTTCTCTATCTATGTTTCTTCGTATGTTTATTAGAACGTCTGAACTCTTTTTTTTCTCCTTTCCCTGCCAGTATATTTTTTCTTCTTGCTTTCTGTTTCGGTCACATGTTGTGTGTCGAATGACGGCTCGAAGCAACAGTATTTATTCTATACAAAAACGATTGGTAAACAAAAAAGGAACAGAACACAAGACTTTCTTTTTGATATTACAGTGCTAAAAATATTAAGTTAAACCACAATTCTCAAGACACTCTAAGATGAGAATTTATCCTTTCGTCTCGTCAGTTACATGATTTGGACACAGAGAAGAGAGAAGCAGGAGAGAAAAAGAACGAACGCAAGAAGACAGAGAAAAGAGAAATATATTCATTTTTTCTGAATGAGTCAGAATTTTTCATTCATCTATTACCCTATATACATAGGGTGTCTCATAAATAGCATTACGATAAAAAATTTAAATATCTTCACTTCAGTTCAAGCAAATGGGCTGATTTTTTCGCTATTGATAGAACTTTATTCAAAATTTATTTTTATACGGATAATGTAAGCAAACACTTCTATTAAATATTATGGATAGTCTCACTAAAGAAATTTTATCTATTATCATATAAGAAAGCAACAAGAAGAAATCAAAACAAGTTTTATAAGTGATATAGCATTAATATAAATAGACCAAATTTTCAGAACTAACATTTTTAAATGCCACAAGTCATATCTGAAAAGTAAAATGCACAATTAAAGTCCTTTGGACTTTGAATTACCAACTTCTTCGATAAAGCCAGTGTTTCATGTTTGAAAATTCGAAATATTGTATTCGTTGGTTTTTAAATTAAGTATTCTTGAAAATTTGATCTATTTGTATCAATGCTATATCACTTATAGAATTTGTTTTGATTTCTTTTTGTTGCTTTCTTAAGTAACAACTAAAAATTATCTATGGAAGTCTTCATATGTATTTTTCCTACATGATAATAGATAAAATTTCTTTACTATCACTAGCCAAAAAATCAGCCTATTTGATTGAACTGGAGTAGAAATATTTGAATTTTTTATCGTAGTTACTATTCATGAGACACCCTGTATTTATTATTCATAAGTTATTACGCTTCTTGACTGCAATGTCTTACTCATGTTGATTATTTCAGTTGCTTGAACTAGTGGTTTCGTCAGTTTCTTGACTATTTCTACTGTCAATGTTGTCAAATTCTGGTAGGCTACAAATGAGTCGGAATATTCTTGATTTTCTTTCCATTCAATACGTGTACATTTTTAGGAAAGAGTTTGTCAGCGCAATCCCAACGGAAGCTAAAATATGAAACTCACATTCGAATGCCACAGTAAAAAATAAGAAAGCTGCGACTTATAAACGTCTATAAATAGAATGAATATATTGTGCAAAGACAGAAAATATAATCTTTGGATATCATGATTTTAAATCGAGTCAAAAAATTCGAATTCTTTTAAATTTGCAGTAGTATAAGGCTTTCAAAACACAACATCAACGTCTAAAAATTCGAATTTCTGTGGTTCAAAAATCCATACTAGGCAGTGATTTTTAGATTATAAAAAGGGAACAGCCAACGTACTGAACGAAAAAAAACGTTTTTTTTTAATCTGATTATACAATAAAATCACTGTGGTTAGAAAATCCACTTCAAGTAATGGTGTCTGTAAGGGAGAAAGCCCTCCGAACCTCGAAACAAACTTACACTGACTATTTTTGCTATAGTGAGTTCTAAAAAAATCCAACTATTATAATTAAAATAAGAATAATCATGTTAGTCATTTATGAACTTGTAGACCGTTCTATTGGTTGAGATTTGATTAAAACCCTAGAGACAGATATTGAGGCAGGGAAAGATTTGCATTAAAAGAGCGATAAGAAAAGATGAATAATCCAATATGAAATGATGAAAGAAAAGAATTGAAAGAGCAATTATGTGTATTTTGCGGCCATCAATTGACTGATGAATAGATTTGGCATCTTTTTCTTTTCACAAACCTTTGTTTGTACTGTGCAAATAGCTTCGAATAAATCGAGTACATGGCCAGTAATTCCCATTAAGTCACTACGAAAGGCACCATAGAGAACTAAAGTTATTCGACATCAAAATGTCTTGTTTTTGTATGAGGTAAAAAATGGATAACATGAAATTGAACTTGGTCGAATAGTGATTTTAGTTTACTTTCTCCAAACTATTGTTTTTATTTTTCTTCTGTTTTGCTTGTGCTTGTTTTTTGGTTACCGTGTAGAAAAAAAAACCAGAATGTTGCTCAACAGAATTAAAACATTCTCTGTCGATTGACTTTCATAATTGTTGTCACAGAGTTGTAGCAGGTATTTGTTCAATACAATGATTGAGAGTAGCTTTGTAAGATGAAAAGACAAGAATACTTCAATATTTTTTGCAGTTAGAATAGAGTCAATTATTTGTGAGCATCTTTCAGATTTTTGGATTATCGAAACTAAACCGAAAAAATACAATCAGTTTCTCAACTAAACAATAGTGCTTGTTCTTACAGACTTTTTTCTTATTATTTTGCTCAATGCATCAGATCATTGCAATTAAAATAATATAAGATTTTGTTCTAGACTAATCCATGCATATTACGACATATCTCATTCTTATCGTGGCTCTCTTGATCAAAGTCGTTCGATGTCCAGGTGGTGGTGGTGGTGGTGGTGGTGGTGGTGGTGGTGGAGGAGGAGGAGGAGGAGGAGGAGGAGGAGGTGGTGGTGGTGGTGGTGGCCGTGGAGGAGGTTATGGTGGTGGTCGCGGAGGCAGTAAGTTAACCAGGAACGTGAGTGTCCTAAATAACGACAGGATAAAAGTGACACTTACTCTCATTGCTTTCGTTTTTATCTCATTCTAAAATTCATTTGTGTTCTATCGACATGTTTCGATGTAGGTGGTAGTAGCAAACCATGTACTCCTGCAGAATGTGAAACGGAACGAAAGATTATTTTTGGAGGTTTACTAACGTTCTTATTGGGCGCATTGATATATTATATTCGGCGTTCATATCGTTATTATATACGTGGCCAACCATCACAAAACAACACAGATTTCATCAGTGAGGATTCTCAAAAAGATCACAACTACGAGCAAGATCCTTTCGAAACAGGAGTTTGGTCATTTAAATATTATCAATATGGAAGATGGCGAGGACCTTTTCGATTACCACTCACATTCAATCGTTCATCAAGCACAGTAACTGGTCAAGGAACAGATAATGTTGGATGTTTTACTGTCGATGGTATTTTCTCTTCTGAAACTCTTCGACTAGGTCTATCGCAGAAATATCAACTAGGAACAGGTGATCCAACAGAGAATCTCGGTCACACATCGATTATTCAACTGAAGTGGAATTCAAAGAAAAATCGATTTGGCGGTAAATGGTATGTTCGAGTGGAAAACTATCGTGGCGATGGGAAGTTTGAATTGAATTTGGGAGAAAGTTCAACATCTGGCCTCTATTATGATAGCGTATGCTAACAATGAACCTTACAATCTCATAATTTCTTGTTTTCGAATCTCATATTATTTCATTAAACAACTCTTTTTCCATAATCTATGTAATTCACTTAAGATTCATCATTAAAATCAGAAACATTTTATCGATCTAAGAAGCATGGTTCAAAGACAATTTACTATCAGCAAAGAGTATGTCCAGATGACACTTTGTTTAATTGCATACTTGAGGGTGTGGGTGTGAATATTTTCTTCATCGACACCTACACTGAAGCTTGAACAATTCATTTAGATAGGTCCGTTCATTGCTTAGATCTGACTATGTCATGGAAACGAATATAGTACAAAAATCTGTCGTTGTAACAGAAAAGTTCAAAACTTATAAACTACTGGTTTGTTCGTATTTGCCTCATAAACGTCTGCTAGTTCGGCAAACAGTTTGATTATATTAT